TTTATTACATTCAATGGTGTTCAGTGATTTTAGTTATATCAGTAATACAATTTTTCTTAGAGAACATCTTAGAGTATTTATAGAGAGAATAAAAATAAATGCATGTTGTCTTTGAATATAACTAAAATATTTGAACATCCTTTTGTCATTTCCAATTTTTGAGATAGTGAAAAGGCCTTCATCAAAATGTAGGAAGGGTGACCTGCAGCATTTTCTATCTCAGCACTACATTCCTTTTAGACCTGAGCATACCTTTAAGAGTCTTCTTTTGAAAACTTCTGAAGCAGTTGTTCAGAAAAGGTACTCTTAAACATAAGTTTTGTTAAATGAATCATAGAATAAGATAGTTTTAGTTTTTGCATGATTTTGATACAATGTGATTGCCAATGTTTTCATGATTTGAAAAATCATGTTCAGCAGTTCATGTGGGTGCAAATATGTTGTAGACGAAATGATAGAAGAAACAAAATTTTGTCTCAAGTTTGTTTTTGCAGAAAATGTGTTAATACAAAGTACTTATTCATTCTATACATTGCTTTAGGTGGAAGAATTATATGACACACATAAGAGAAAATTATAGAAGAAGATTGGAAAGTAGAAGTTAAGCAGGATACTTCAAGGATTTCTGCCATAGTAAATATTCAGGATGACTCTGATTATAACGTTTCTCAGGCTGTTCCCATGCCTGGGCTCTGGTGTCTCTACTTAAGAGACATATGGTCAGTATATTTATATGTTTAATGCAGTATATAGGGTTGAAAAAAGATATGACATAACTCTTGTTCTTCTCAGGTGCAGAATTAAAAAGTTTATATTATTCCCTGGAGGGCAAGTAAGTGGTTACATTCCAGGTGAAATAGTGAATCTTTATTGTTTTTAAGCTGATCTTGGCTTACTGAAATAAATATGCTTTTGAAATAAATGCTCCTTTGCTTGCTTCCCAGAAGTAATGTTGCTTTTTGCCCTCTGTATGGGTAGGTGTTTTTTTAAGGTGTACTACTCAGAAGATATAACTAGACACTTCATTATGTCTGCACATGTTAACTTCCTCTGTAAATTCTTTTTAGTAATTATAGTGTAATTTTAATTTTTTCACTAAAAGAAAAGTTTTTCAGTTATATGAAGTTAATTTTTTATGTATATGAATCAGGTATATAAAATGATGTGTGAATGAAAGTATGTGAAAAAAGGTTTGATTGTGAATGAATGGGTTGAAAATATATTTTAATAACATTCATTCACACTCATCAAAAATTAACTTCAAGTAATTGAAAAATTAGTTCTTTTTATAAAAAAGAATTAGAAATGCAGATTCAGTGAAAAGGAAAGTTTTATCTTTTGAGCAGTATGTTAGATTCTCGTATTGTACGTCTTAATACATTATTAAAATTATCAAAATCGGCTGTTAGGACTGCTTTGATAACCAGTAGTGTTGTCATATAAGAAGATACAATACGTACATAGTTCATTGTTTTATCCTCTTGTTAAAAATTCAAATGTATAATTTTTATTTCAAAATGTTTACTCCTCACCCTGGCAAATGCGGTAGGCTGAGGCTGGAGATGTTAATAGTAGGTTGTGAATATTTTCTAAAAGAACTTAGGAAACTCATTTTGATTTTGTATAGTTGGACTTTAAATTATTTAAGTGGATAAAATTTATTGAACTTCAAATGGATTCGGTGGAAATGTTTTATCCTTCAAATAAAAATTCATGCAAATAAAGAGAATTATTTTTTCACTTATACGTTTCCTTTTTTATGTTACCTTTCACCTAATTTTTAATTGACTTATTAATTATATTAAGTAATAACGTTATTGAAGGTATGAAACATTTCATTTGAATGACAGGTGAGTACAATAATTTATAGCAGTTTTTAACCCATTTTTTATCTTACTTTTAAGAACAGTCTTGATTTCCATATTTAAGAAATTTACCTGAAGTTCCTGATCAATTGAATTAACTGAGAATCCTGCCAAACAGTACTCCAGAATATCTACTATCTTGTACCCTTTATCCCACAGAAATTTTTGAATGTAGTGTGAAAATTTTCCAAGATTGTACAATCAGAGAAGCCAAAATTATGAAAAGAAAATAGAAAATTCATGGCAGTTTTATGTTAATTATACATGTCAATTAAGCCTTGTTTTATTAGTCAATCATTGAACAAATTATAGTATTTAAATATTATTACAACGAATTCACAATTAACTAACCATATCTGTAAGTCACTAATCAATAATTGATACACCGGCTGTCACTCATAAGATGAGCAATGTGAAAATGAAATCGTAATTACAAACACCAGATATCATAACTGCAAAACATTATACAGTACACATTAATTTGAATCTTCTGAACACGCAAGATCGTAAAGTACCGGCAGATTTCCGATAGTTTTTTACAAGGCCTATTTGGGAGCTTTGCAGTATATTCCATTTCATTATCGTATCTGATGACTTAATTCAATCAATTACACATGTTCTCAACAGTATTTCGAAATGTTTTGAATCACTTAGTATAATCATTAATGATACGCAATTAAATGAATCTCTCGTGAAAACTGTTTATAACATCCACGCGATCAAAATTACATTTAACAACAAAACTCAGTCAACCGCGGCCAGCTGTGAATGCAACTCAGATGACTGGCGGAAGAATATTTAGCGGAGAGCGATGCCCATCTGTTATAGAAGCTGTCATAATAATCGTTATCTGACCTGATCGCTCTGTAAGCCCACATTTTTAAATTATTTCTCGGAAGTTTGAGAATTAATTTCAAATTTGCATTTTTGCTAGATTTTTGAAATAAAGGCTTCGTAGCTTAAATTCTATTTTAAAAAGGCGACAAATGCCGTTTACAGATCGAAAATCGTAAGCAATTAGTCTAAACAATTCGCACAATTGCAAATTATCACTGGGGTTCCTGTTAGCAGCTGGAATCTCACGAGCACAAAGTGGCTCACCTACACTCCCAAATTTCACATTCCGAACTGTAGACGTAATATTTCACCAAATCTTCCATCATCAATCTTATTGTAATATTTCTTTGCATTTATATTTTATTAGTTGGCTCTATGTAACTATTATTTATTATTACAATTACATTAACTATTTTGATATTTATTACTATTATATTAATTTTCTATCATCACTATTTTATTAATAGAGAGCGGCATATTGAAGACTATGACTAATATGATCTTTCGTGCTGTCAATCGACAAATTGCCTCATTAAACGTGTTATAAATAAAACCCTTCCAATAAAGCCGTTGCATGCAAAATGTGTCTTGGATCATTTAATTTCTAAAAATTAGAACCCTTTTCCTACTAATCGTGTAGTGTTTTGGACTCTCATTTCAGCAGCGGAAAGGGTGTAATTTTTTGTCGGCTTCATGATGGTTTTAAATACTTAAATATTTTTCGCAATCTGAAATCTTCACTTGTGTTCCTAATAGCAACAGAACTCGTGGGAGGCATGGTAGTATGAATACAATTCTCAAGTTTGTCAACACAGATATTTTCTACTACGGAGGAGCAACAGTTCGAGGTATTATCAAATGTTACCAAAACCCCTCGTTTCTATCTTTCATTTATCAAGTTCCACTAGTAGTTTTTAGGAAGGTAGGTAGTACAGATTGTTAAGCACATTACATGCGCACATTATTATGACTCAACTTTCAGGTCCTTTGCTCGTTCTACTAACACCTTGCTATTGTAGCACTTCACATGACAGAAAGCGTAATACAAGAATTGCACGTTTACACTCACCTTAGCAAGTTTTCCGGTTCGGAATTCGCTGCTCTCTGAATGCGAGGTCGAGAAAGCGTTTCGCCACACGCCCGACGCACTGGGAGGAACTCCACACAGAGCAACCCACTTCGGCAGACGGGAGAAGACGAATGCCACAGTGGCATGGACGACGCTCTTTATACGGTGCCTCACCCTCAGCTTCGTCCCACGTGACTTCACGGCTGTCGTTTCTTTCATAACCCGCGCTACCAACTCAACGAGAAAAAAGTGCTGCAATCTAAAATTCACGCTGCACAAGAAGGGATGGGAACAGAAAACGTCCCCTTTTCAATAGAAAAATTTAATTAAAAAATTAAATATAAAAGTTTTAAATTTTGGGTCTGAAGAGAATAAATCAAATAAATTTTCTTTTTCACTGGTCAAATAAGACCTTGTATTACACAAAATTATTTGTATCAAGATATACCTTTCCTTGTCCAAATAAACTTTATAGTACATAATACAAAACTTTTCACTTTTATGACGTTTCTGGTTTTAATGCAAAATCACTCTCAAATCCATTGATGCTAAGAATTGTTTGCTCTTTTTTACTTTTTCGTATTCGTACGTACTTACACACATAGAACATTACGGAGTTCACCAACATACGTAGTATACAGCAATTTATGTAATGCCGTGGAAAGTTGATGTCGATATTTTTATATACAGTGGTATCCTCTAACATTAAGGACAATTACATCAAGTACTATTTGATAACTTATTTTATTGGCATCACTGTACCTAATACGCGACGTTTTAAAGCGCTTTCATAACCGAATACCTATTAATGCAGTCATATAGTGTGGCGAAACGTGTATTTTTATAGTAGATACAGACAATGAAAAATTTGTTAAAGTAACACGATTTAATTGTCTTTCATGTTTGAGGGCACCATTGCACATAAAAATATATACATACAGTATATAGACAAAAACTTTTGGTTTCTTTTTAATTAAGTTGATGTCTATATGTTAATGAAAATACACGGTTTGGGGACCCCAGCACAGAAAAAGGGTTTCCTTTTTTAAAAAATATATAATTTGATTCAAAACGTTTGTTCGTTCGTTTGCGTACAATACTAGCTACTTGATACAATGGTTTGTTTTTTTTACTTTCTCATATACGATTTTTTGATTGATTGATTAGTGATTCCTGACGCGTCAACTGCTAAGGTCATTAGTCCCGTAAGTCTATTGCATGTCTTTCGTGGGGACGAGGCTGTCATCTTCCCTCGCTGGATGGTGAGATCCGGCGCCGACGTACTATGGGCTAGCGGGGTTTTCCCCAACCAGGCATCTCCCACCAGCAGGACACCGCCTCGGCCGGGAGAAGCTCTACGCGCCCGACCGGTCTGCCGTGGTATGTGTAGTAGTGTAGTGCATGTAAGTGTTTGTGGAAGTAAGGGGTGAGGATAGGGCAAGGAAGAGGAAGGAAAGATCTCGCGCGGTGCATGGCCCATTTGCTACGGTACTGCTCCGGCATTCGCTGGGTATTGATCGGAGAAACCACGGAAAACTTCCGATCACTGCAGCCGGGCATTGGAATTCTCCTTCAGAGGGCGAGTGAACTGAATCTACCTATCTAGTTCTTTAATTCGAAGAATATACATAGTATAAAGTTAAGTAATGCGTAGAAAAATAGCGATTTTTCGACGGAAAAAAGATATTGTGAAGCACTGATACACAGAAAGTGGATAAATCGGGTTATGATAAGTAGTAAATTACTTCCTCTAATAGGTTGAGTAGTCTGATTTCACGATTTATGGGTCCTTGATACCGAAAAACTGGTTTTCCAAAATGAACAATCCCCGTAAGTTCTGGCCCGACTCAATGGCCTGCGATTTTGAAAAACATTTTTAATTTTTGCAGGCACTTGCGTGAGTTCTTGAGACATTTTCAATTTTTCTCAAGAACGTCTCCCAATTTTTTAAATTTTGTTGTAAGGGATAGAGTGAAATACACTTATAAACATGGCATAGGTCCAAATTTCACTATTAACTCTCAATTTTCGGATATTACAATACTTTGAATTTGTTCGCGGTTCCTGCAACTACTGCTAAGAAGATAGCGATTTTTTTCTTGAAATGAAATTTATTATTCAGAACTTTTCGTTAACGTCATTTATTTTTGAAAATGTTTGCAGTTTCCAAGAAATGAGAGAAATATGGGCAATATTGACAAGAATATTGAGAAGGTTTTCTCAAAAACGGCTCCAAATTTTTTGTACGGATAGCGCCAAATATATTTTATAAGTTGACATTAACGCTATTTTGCTGTATTCTTTTAAGTTTTCAAAAATGAAACAAATGAATTTTTTATATCTCTCACTCCCCGTCAATATTTACATCACCTCCGATTAGCATACATGTAATGCATTTCTCGTATTCGGAGTAATATACGTAGTATAGACAAAGTTATGTAATACCGCGGAAAATCGATTTCGAGATTTCAACGGAAACACACGTTTTGCAGACCCCTGATACCGAAAAAGTGTTGTTGTTTTTTCTTTCAAAACGTCTGTCCGTCCGTCCGTCCGCTCCTCCGTCCGTCTGACTGTCCATATGTGAACACCACTAGCGCGTAAACTGCACATAGGAATTGTTCCAAGCTGAATACGAGTGCACCCCTGTCGAACTGGCCTCACTCGCAAATCTGCGATTATCAAACACATTCAATAGTTTTTTGGAGTACTTTACATGAAACCAGTGGGGCATTTTTAAAATTTTCTCAAAAACTGCTGCAGATTTTTTTCTGAAAATTCCCTGTAAGTATAGAGTGAAATGCACTTATAAAGGTGGCTTAGGTCCGATTTTAACTGCTACCTCTGTATGTTTTGCAAATTGCAAAATATTGAAATGTTTTTCGGCATTTTACTACAACTCCAAAATTGAAGATAGAGATTTTTCTTTCAAGTAAAATGTTTTCAGAATAATTACTTCTTTCATTAAGGTCATGTACATTTTCTGTGAAAAAGAGCTTCTAATTGCGCATTTGCAGTAGTACTTAAACGCCATTGTCTTTCAAACGGTTCCTAATTTTTCAACGAATATTTCCTTATATTAGGAGGTTTAACTCGTCTAAAATATATATATATATATATATATATATATAAAGTTATATTTCAGTTCTACAATAAGCAAACCGAATTATTGAGAACATTTCAAAAATATGTACTTTAGGCGGTGATAATGTCGGCAGTTGGCAAGAGTAATATGTGGCAAGACCGAAAAGCAAGCCCAGACCAAGAAATTAGAAAACGAGCTAGTACGGTGAAGTCTGTGCCATTCTGAAGCACCCCTAGTTACTTTCTCGTATACGTACGTATACACGTAGTAATATACGTAATGTAGAGAATGTTGTGTAACGCTAAGGGAAATCGATTTTAACCGAAATGCAAGTTTGGGGACCACTGATACCGAAAAGGTATTTGTTTTAAAAAACGTCTGTCAGTCCGTCCGTCCGTCGTGCCTAACCCAAACCTAGGAGTTTTCGTAAAAAGGATATCCTCCTATCAATCTGGATCCGCTCGAGGCGCTGGGATTTTGAAAAACCTTCTATAAATTTTGCTGGTACTTTACATAAAACCTCAAGGATATTTTCAAAATTTTCTCAAAAATGGCTCCAAAGTTGTTTTTTTAATTTATTGTAAGAATAGAGTAATACACACATAAAAATTAATTATTTCAAAATTGGTTATTACTTTTGTAAATATTAATTTTTTTCATTAGCGTAATAGACAGCATGCCCCTTCACCGCACAAAAGCAGTCGCCCAACATCCACACATCATGCGTCGCGTACAACGGAAGGAATGTGATATGGCGGACGTGCCGCGTGGGCCGACCTGTCGCCGGCAACCGATGTGACGATGTGACCTCAGATCGATTTGAAAGCGGCTGCGCGCCGCGCTTGGCAGGCGCATCCGAGAAAAGAATATAATCAGTTTCTTCGAATGGAACGGAGGATTTTTCGTATTTTTTCTTTATTAGTGGTTGTAAGTTGTTACTCTTATTTACAATTAAGGATTTTATATTTGAATACCATATAAAGAGCTGCTGTTGACTAGTTTCTTAACTTGTACCAACAAATCGCGTGGCTACGGAATGAAAAATTGAAGCACTAGATTGAACATAAAAAAAAGCACTATTACACTATTAGTTCGAGTAAAGTCATAAAAAGTAACATTATAGACACATATCTATATATTTTTTTAACACTGATCAATAATATTGGCAAAAATTTCCATGTTTGAGTGGGGCGAAAAGTCTTCAGTAAATTGAGCAACGCCGTAATGTCCCTGAGATTGGCACGACTGCTCAGGGCTCACGCTTCTTCTCACGTTTCGTTCTTTTGAATCACTTTGAAGACTGTTGCTTGAGTGACACGCGGTAAATATCACAATCGGAGCGAATTGACGTAAGGGGTATTTAAAAAGAGGAATTTGAGAGATAACCATATAATTCCCCAATATCACGAGAACATTGACGTAATAGTTTTCAAACATTTTTTCAATGTTTGTTTCTCTCTAATTTTTAATTCTTGAATTACCTGAGCCAATGGTGAGATAAACTTAGATTATTCGGTTGCTTGACAAGATCAACAGTTTGGTTCTCTTTGACAGAAATCTCAGTCATTGACTCCTATGGCTCCTTATTATCCTTCATATCGCAACATATTTTTTTTTTGTTTTTTCTGTTATTTCCCTATTTTATTTTTGCTTAGTTAATTAAGGCTAAATGCACCGAAAAATACTTGTAGGAAAATTCAATAGATCGCAGCAACTACAGGGGGAATTTACATTTACTGATAACGTCTGAATCCAATGTGCCGATTTTCGATCTGTAATAATACGCGATTTGACGCTTTTTAAAAATAGAATTCACGCTTACGATGCCCATTTTTCCCAAAAATCCAGCAAAAAAGTGGCAAATTTGAAATTAGTTTCTCGGAACTCCGGAGAAAATAATTACAATTTTGTGGGCTTATAGCGCGATGGTGACATGCTTGCTGAATCCAACGCCGTGACAATTCATGGCCAAATCGAATGAATAGAAGGCGTCGTAAAGTGAAAATTTACGGAAAAACGCTTCGCACCCCCCACCTCCCCTTCTGGCGCCGTTTGCGTCACCCACCCGTGTTGGGGCCCTCTGTCGGCGGCGGGGGCACGAACCAGGCCAGGCCAGGCCGGCGTGCGGTCAGCC